AAATATGGGTGAAATCGATTCACAACCACGCCTGAAATCTCGATTATCACTTTATCATCCGAGAGTATAAAATGTTCGGTGACACCCGAACTTAGCCCTTCCTTACTTGTTTATAAACTGGAAATGTCGCAACCAAATCAGCTAAATTGTAAAGCGATTTTCGATCACTAATATTTGTTGTTCTTCTCTACTACCGAAATATAGAAGCCATCTCTCGTATATGGTATATAAAATATATGGAATTTCCAACGTTTCTTTTGGAATGTTACAATTTTCGTGGCAAGGTATGTAAGCCTTTGATAACTCAGCAAATGTCAAACTTCAACTGACGTATAGTCAATGTGCGAAGTGAATAACTTGTAGCCTAAACTTGCAGAAAGACAATACGGCCTTATAAACAAGACATCCACTATTGGTGCACGTAAGCGGCAAAAGATGGAATGGTTACACAAAAAATAGTGCACGCTGTTTACCCTGTATGTCAAGAATGCGTTCAACAGTTCAAATTGGGCACATATAATTAAAACCTTGGATGAAATACGCACCCCTGAATATCTCATAAACAGTATGACGATTTATTTAAAAAATAGAAGACTTATGGTGCAGGCAAAGACACCAAGAGCTACTCTATCTCGAGTAGAGTACCCCAAGGCTTAGTATTAGGCCCGCTATTACGAAACCTCATGTATGACGTAGCACCTCGTCATAGACACAAACCAAAAAGCGTGAAACAAATGCAAAGAGTACTTCAATAGTCTAAGCAAATGGAGCTCTTCGGTGAGTTTGGAACTGGCTGAACACAAAACACAAGTCCTACTCATACGTTCCAGAAAGGAGATTATCTCAAAGCCTCAGTTAAAGTGTCTGGAAGTAATATTGGTTTCCAAATTGAAATATAAAAAACACCTAGCATATGCTTCCGGTAAAGCAAACAAAATGTATAATGTTTTATCGATAGTGATGACCGATAGAGACTGCGTGTGTTCCAACCGACGATTTTTAATAGCGGAAGAATGAGTTCCATAATATTGTATGTAGCGCCAGTAAGTGCTTTTCTGACTATATCAACTAACACTGCTGAAGAAGTATTAGCCAGTATGCCACCCATTGACATCCAGGGAGATAAAATGGAGCGATTATATCATATAGCATCGGCGAGAGCATCAAAATGTGCAACGATATAAATCCTCTTCAAAAGGGCGCTGGACTCACAGACTTATTCCGGGCATCCACTCGTAGATAGACAAACGACATGGGGACCTGCATTTCCATCTGACCCAAATACTTAGGGATCATGAGTGCTTTAGAAGACACCTTTATAGATTCCACACTGACATTAGTCCGAACTGCCCGACATGCACAGAGTATTTAGAAGACTCTGAACAAATATTATTTTATTGCCCTCACTATTGAAATACAAGGAGAGAAGTTAAAAACCTGCTCGGTGGTAGATTTACGGTTAAAAATATAACGACACGCATGTGTCAGTCGCCTCAGAAATGGAAAGCTGTTTGCATAACGTCTACTTTCATAATGACAATAACTATCATAATGATAATAAATGCCCTGTCCCTCCCAGGAAGTAATACTTAATCGGTGGTTCCGTGGGAGAGTCTTGCATATGGAGTAAAGTAAAGTTTAGCGGATCAAAGTTCCTCACACCGGCTTTGGATGCTTCCCCTACAATAAAGCAAAAAGACTTGTGATATCTTTGTCGAAAATATTAGAGGGTGAGCTAGCTTAGAGAACTAGGGCTATCTAATAACGAAGCAAAAAACATAAATTACGGTTTTGCGTCTCAAAAAGCGGAGGATATATTAAAACTTAGTATTTCAGTAAAATTAAATAAATTTGTGAAAAACGTGAGAGCATATGGCAGAGCAAATCAGTTTTGTTAGCAATAAATAACGGTTTAACGACCGTCCAAGGAATACTCAGGTAACTAACTCTGTTGATGGTAAAATGTAATAGCGTCAAATGCCCGCTACGAAGTCGCTTTCCAGTTAGACATAAGTACACATATTTTTTAATCCAATCCTTCAGCGATGCGGACAGGGCGATGTAAATGAGCTTTTTATTAAAATTAATCGATTTTGTGACAGTTTTAAGGGGCATTACGGTGGCCATTGCTCATTTTTTATTACATTTTATGCCGAATTTATGTCGTGCTGCGAATGCAGAAAGCCAAGTATTAAACGTGTAAGGGCAGCGCATTTGTAATACATTTTGGCTGAAACCATATCAAAGACGGCGCAAACGCCTAAGAATTCCACCCTCCGTTTTCGCTAAAAAAAACAGGCGATATACATACTATACATTACTCGCAACAATTTTAAAACTCGTCAGCGGTTTTGTGGATTTTATTTTCGCTTTGGGCTTCTCTCGCCGCAAGCCAGTTGCATTACGTAAAATATAAATGTGTAAATGCTTTGACATATCGATTCTTACCTTTTTTATTGTGGGTCAAAAATACAGCCACTATTAATAAAAATGTATTTCGTTTAAAAGGCGTTGGAAACATTCTTAATTTAAGACAAAAGTTTTCTTTCTGCTCTAAAAAAAACTCTTAAAATTCCTTATATAAGTAAGTGCATCATACTCTTTTTGAAGAAGACGTTAAAAACGATACATAGCGAAATTTACAAAAGTGCCGACTGGCGAATCAGAACGAAATAGAAGCCTTTACAAATGATTTTCTTCTGAGTTCAAGGGACTGGATAGGGCAACAGAATTATATTTCTAGTCTCTATTGAACTTCATAAAAATCACGACGTAAACTTCAACTCGCATTAAACTGAACCTCCATCTGGCATTACAAAAGACCTGTAGGTAGTCTTTATGGCATGGCAGCCAGCCAATATAGCCTAACTTAACCAATTAGATAATGAACTAAACAAATTTAGAAACTAAAAGCCAACACTCGATATATCTCAAAGACACTATTCGTACAAAGTTGCATTATAATACATTTATTGCTACTTGATTTGTGAACTGGAAAATGAAAGAATCATTTGGAATTTAAAATGGTGCTATATGTAAAAAGGCGTGGTTCTAAACTGATTGAGTAGGTCCGGAGATATGTGTGTGACACCCCCATTGTCTTACTTCGACCTCAAATACTATAAAATCCTCTCGCACCATCTCGGCTTAAAAATTTAATTAGGCGGCGTATTTGTTTATTGACTTTCGGGTTTTTTTGGGTAGTTTTTAACAGTAGCGTTATATGGTTAGTGGGTGGAGTTACGCTCCGACTTAATCTATTTTCACAGTGTCGGTAGTGGTGCTTAATCGATTTCACCCGGGCTATTTTGGTTATTGTATCTTAATTGGTTTAGAAAATATGTTCATTAAACTTCTTAGACTCTCTTTCTCTCTCTCTCTCTCTCTCTACGGATTCATTTTTGAATATTGTTTGCCTTGGAGCATACTCTGTAGCTACTTTTTATTTTGTCTATGAATCCGAAGCTTCACTTTTGTAAGGCGACATTTTTTAACCGAAATACAAGACTATTATTCGAATAACTGAGTCTGTCATTTTCTCTATCTCTAAACATCTGAAGACTTACATACGAATTTATACGAAATTATAAGCAATACTCATACATCAAACTTAATTAGAATAAGTATATGTGACCTGGTCTACGGAAAGGGGGCTTAGGTGTCAAAAAATCAATTTTCACATTTTAGTTGATTCAGATGGAAGATGAGATGTTTTTTTTTTTAACAGCTGTTTCCCAGAAAACTAGTTTTCGTACGTTAGCTCCCTTTTCGTAGACCAGGTCACATATATGTATATATTTCAGCATGCATTGCGGTTTATTACGGCTTGTCATGCGTATACTACTCCGTATTTTTAATTCCCACGACAGCGTCTACTCTGTCTCTTATACACATCTAGATGTGTATAAGAGACAGTATTTTTAATTCCCACGACAGCGTCTACTTTACAGAAGTTGACATGGATTTAGTCAAACCAAGCGCGGTTATTTCGGCCAACTAACTATTTTTGCATCAGTAAGTTTTAGGTTCAGTTTGTTATCATTGAAGCAACACTTTGCCACAGGTATGTAGCCTGTATCCTCCTGGTCCATGATAACATCCAAACTCGACCGCTGTTAGGTGTAATACGTGTAATGGATGTAGCCACCTAAAACTTATAAAGAGTCGACCAAAAGTTATGTGACTACATGCTTATAACGCACATATGCGACACTAGCTTATACGGCTGTGCAAATGGCACCCAGTTCATGCACAGCGCCGTCACTCCAGTCGAGTAGTCAGCAAGAGATTTCTACGCTCCCAAAGAGCTCAACTAGGGAGCACAACTGACCTAGTCTGATTATCCATTAACATCTTAACTCTCAGTGAATGCCGCACTGGAATTGAGCTATCACTCATAGCAGATGAAGTTGCCACGAGAATCTAGAGTGACAAGTACGCAACTTCGTTTTGAAAATTGCAGCAAACTAAATTCCTACATTTCCACAAGATTCGATCGCTCGCTGCGTCCAATATTATGAGGACATAATTGCCCAGCGAAGTTGGTAATTCCAGCAAACTTGAAACACTTTCGGCAATGGTAATCCACAACTCATTATAGAAACGGCACTATATTCTAAAGAAGGCACTGTTTGCTACGTTCTATGGGCAGAGGGAATCATTGGTTCATATTTCTTCAAACAGCAAGCTGGTCATAATGTTACACTTATTTGGGAACGCTATAGTACCATGATCAAAGACTATCTGATGCCTGATTTTGAGGATGCTGATGCGGACGACCTATGCTTTCAAGAAGACATAACACTACATGCTATACAGCCAACGAAAAGCTAAATTTATTGAATAAAATTTTTGACTCCCAATGGTGAAAAATCTTCAAGACAATGATACTTATGTAAGTAAAAAGATTAGCACTTATTATCTGCAGATTACAATTCAGCATACAAAAGCTTATCTTTCATATTTTATATAAATTAAACCAAATAAGCTGTTACACTCACCTCGATCTCCGCGTCGTTGGATCTTTCATGACCATAGCCTCTGATATATCACCAAACCTGCTGAAGTAGTCTCGTAAGCTTTCTGAAAACAAACACACACAACAAAGAATCATTATAACAGTTGTGGTATATAAGATCCATAACTAAAAATGTGAAAATATAATTAATTTAGGGCACTAAAGAGCAGCATCTACTACAAGCACTGTGAGGACATAAACATAATTGGCTAAGATGGCAGAACTCGAGAGTCCTTGTAAATGACATTAAAACGTCGCTTATGCTTTAAACCACCAGATTGTTGTAACTTTTCTGTGTAAATGGCTAAAAATCTGCCAACACATTCATCAAGCGAAACAGCCGGCTTAGCAGACTTCGAACCAATTTCATCAAGCTCCACAGCTGTACGCTACGCTACTAGAGCCAAAGGCCTGCCGGCCGCCGCGCGGTTGCACATTCAAAGGCCACTCAGTGGCTTCTTCATTCATTGAAACGACCAGCCATATATATTCCATTCACACCATAAGCGTTAGCAACACGCCTAACGGCCTGGCCCAAAAAAAAGGCCTTCCTCTCTTGCACATTCGAAGGCCTCGTAAATCTAAAATACAATAAAAATTCAATAAAAGCAAACGAAAACTCCATAGCCGCGCAAAAAACACAACAACTTGGAACGAGAACACAAAACCACACATGAACCAACGCATACATGCGTAAAAATTTCGGCGACGACCACCAGTTGCTGCACGGCCCGCTTGCCAGTTCGACATTGCGCGCAATTGCATTGCAGTTAAAGCGCTTGCTGTTGTTGTGTTTTGTATGTAGTGTGTAACACGCTTAATTATGAACAATAAAAACGGAAAATTTATTTGTTTATGACAGTTTAGGCTCATAAATTTTGGACCAACAAGCACCAGCTGAGCTTCGCTGCCTGCCAAACATAGCAGCTGTTGCAGCAACATAAACAATAGCAACAACAACGAACAAACATGCCATCGTGCATTAAAATGCAAAAGTGTCCTACAACAATAACAGCAATATATGTTATATAATATATATTTGCTGTAGCAGCGCTTTGATTTAGCAATGCCACACATTCAAGGCACTCTATGGGAAACTCTATTTCCCGCAACTGATGTTGGCAGAGCAACACATGGATGGAAGAGTGGACGCTTCGAGCATAGAAAATCAAAAATTTACCATATACCTACTTTTGACATCACGGAAAGGAGCTACCTTTACGCCGATATGTCTGAATGTGGTATCCTTGCAAAACTAATACGATTGTGTAAAATGTCGTTGAGTAATACCAAAAGCTCCTTCACGATCGACAAGGACCTCTCCGAGCCGTTCGATACCTAACGAGGTTTCAGACAAGGCGACTCTCTGCAGAAACCGTAGCTAAGCCGAATGGCTGAAAACACTCCAGCTCTACACAGTATCTGCCGAAGGAAGCAGAAAAAGAGGAAGACCTCCACCCCGTTGGAAAGACAAGGTGGAAAAGAACTTGACTATACTAACAAACTTGCGTCTGTTGTATACTCGGCTATAACCGCGTAAGCGGTGTTGACGCTATTAAAGAAGAAGAAGAAGAAAAACGCTTCGACATTTGAGAGTTTTAAGTTAATCCAAGGAAGCTCTTCCTCTCGTAACTTTGACAAATTGAAAGTAAAATCCTATATGTAAAATAAATCAAGAGAGACTCACTATCCGAGACGAAAAGTCTTAAATATTTCGCTGAAAAAAAGTCTCACAGCTAAAATTCATTATTTGAGAGATTAAGTTTTAAACAATATAACGACTTCAACTAACGAATGGCCTAGTAAACCTGTTGTTTCGACGAGATGTACCAAAAAGACAGGGCTGTTAGATGAGTGGTGTGCGTTGGGCATGCAAGGAGATGAGGTTTGAGTCAGGCGGGTACTCAATAGACGCTTGACATGTATATGATATGTCCGGTTCGATTCTGCATAAGTATGAGTTTACGCTATTACAGTATTCAAAACGAAAGTGGCCCGAAATATTTTAAATGAAATTGAAGCAAATGATTTCGGTGACACTTTTTTTTGTCAACAAGACAGCTTCACTTCTCACATATCACATCAATCAATGGTTTTATTCACAGAAAACTTCGGTAAACAGATAATTTCACGTTTTGGGAAGGTCGATTGGCCACCAAGACCACCAATGTCAGACTTTTTACTTAGGCATATATGAAGTCTTAAGTCTATGCGGGCAATCCAGCCTCGATTCAGGTCTTGGATCAAAACATCTCGCTAGACATTCGCCAGTTACCAGTCGAAATGATCAAACGTGTCATCGAAAATTGTACTCAACCTTCAGAGGGTCCAGAATCTTAGCCGCCGCCAACGTTTGACGGAGATAATCTTCAAAAAAAAAAATAAATTGAAAAAAATGTTCTTTAGAATGATAATAAACTTTCACCATTAAAATTGAAATTTCTGTGTTTTTTCTTTAAAAAAGTAGAGAACATCGAACATGTTTTTTCCTAAACCATCTCGATGTAAGCGATGCGAACAAGCTTAAGGTTTACTCGGTTTAAATTTTCTTTAACACTTTGAAGTTTTCAGGGTTTCCCAGGATTAAAGAGTTGCAAAGTACACATCTGCAGGAAAAAAAATGTCCACATAGAAACACCAGATGACTGAGGAAACCGCAAATATTGCACGACAAACGATTTCCAAATACAGGAAAATAGCAACACCAGTGCAAATGGCTTTAAGCAGCTGACCATTAGCAACGATTGCCCAAAAACCGCTCCCAGCTTGTCGGCCTACCAACACTCTTCACTTCCGTTGGGCAGCTGGACGGCTTTAAAAAAAAATTGTGTGCGGTTGGGATGTGGCAAGAGCGTTTACGCAGCTGCCTATTTTTTATACGCAACTCTCTCGCATTTTGCAGCGCTTACTGTTATGGCCATAAACAACAAAAAGTGAAATGTTTGCTATTTAAGTTTTGTGGTCTTCTGCTTGTGTTGATGCAAMGTACTTTTCCTCTCCTTTTGTTTCCACTTTAGTTTAAGTTTTTCTGCTTTGGTTTTGGTTTGCAAATTTCGGACTGAGCTCTAGCAAGCCAAACAGGCTATGGATTTGGTGGTGGTGGTGTGGTATACACTTGCTCTATTGTTCGGATTACTTTCTTTTCTACGTTCTTTTGTGCACACAGTTGTAAGACAGTGTTGCTTTTGTTTCGACTCGAGACTACCTTGCCACACTTTTCAAGTTGATTGGCGTCAGCGGGTCAGCGGACGTCGCTCAGCCTCCGTGGCATATTTCTTTTGTTGTTTTGCCTTCTGGCGCTTTAGGTGTGTATGTCGAAAAACTTCGTGATGTCGTGTGTGGGTTTGTATATGTCAGCAGATTTGTGGCCTAAGCGAGACCTTTGTCAAAAGTTGGTCGAAACTTGAATGAAAAATGGAAAGAGATCGGCGTTCGTCTCTTTTCACCTGACGCAGAGCACTTACTGTTGTTGTTGTAGGTATTACCTAAATTCGTGCATGCTTGACTGAGCTTCCATTTTGCGTGTGAGCGTCGTGCCCTTTGCGGTACAATTGATTGAAATCCTTTTTGTTTTTCTTCTTCCACTAACAAACTTCTATCTGAAACAATAAAATTAGGAGTTGCCACAAAAAAATTCAGATTGTGCTCAAATTTATGGGCGGCTTTATGTGCTTATATATTAATATAAGTTTACAACAAACACGGTTGCATTTCAATGCCTGCGTGTATTAACAAAGTCGGTACTTTCTTCTCATCCCCAGCTGAGTGGTTCTCTAATCCACATTCAAGTATTTGAACATGAGCTATTTGTATATTGTTAAATCGGATGCCACCACAACAACTACAATAAATTAACATGCTCATGTAATCGTCTCACTTGAGGTAAGCGGATTTACTCACGTTTACACATACAACAACAGTAAAATCTTTGTCAAAAACAGGGTGACTAACTTCAAGTAGTCAAACTTTTCGACAATAAGCGTGCCATTCAAAGCTTTGCGTGGCTTAGTAAAATAAAATAAAACAATAAAAGATATTMTTTTTACATTAATTTCAAGATTTTATTTGGATATAGTTAGATTAATCCGATTTGGGTTAAATGTAGGCCGTTTGTGTCGATATGTAGTTAGGTAGGTAAGAGTGCATCCCTTTTGGGATCAATTAATACTTGTTGTGTTATTTTGATACACTATTAAGAGACCATACAAGCAACTATATCCTGATATCACGTTTGATTGATGGTGTTCAAACCATACCCTCAATGAAATTACTTATCTCCGTAGATAGACATTCCACGAGTTCGATGTCTGATTTGTATTACAGCTGGGCACTTACAGAGAAAGCGGAGTACCTTTTCCATGCTCCTCGCATATACGGCAATTGATGAAAGTAAATTTTGTTTTGCCATAATTTGGATATACCAATGTGGGCAAAAAATAGTAAGACCTTTTAATATAAATTTCCTTAATAAACATTAGTGTTTAGTATACGCTTGTCTTTCTGAAATACTTAAAGTGCAAAGTACTAGTGCCGAAAGGTTTAGAATGTTGGAAAAGGTGGTAATGGTTTGCTGCAAGCAAGAGTTTTTGATTGGTACAAATTATTCAAAGAGGGTCGAGAACGCGTTGATGACGAACCACGTCCAGAACGGCCATCCATATCAACTGATGATCAACTTGTCAAGGAAATAAAGGAATTGGTACTTGAGAATTGACGATTAACAGTCAGGGAACTTATTAGCATCTTTGGAATATCAGAAGGATCAGTGAAAACTATTTTGAAATATCATGTGGGCCTAAGAAAAGTGGAATCACAGTTGGTTCTAAAAAACTAAATTTTTTATAAAAACATCGTCTCATTTACGACTGTGAAATAATGCTTTCCGACTACCAGGATGTCATGATACATATTATTATAGACGATCAGTCTTGGATCTATGCTTATGACCCGAAAACAGATCAATCGTCCGAACATGGAGGCAAAGGTGAGCCACCACGTCAAAACAGGTCAAAAAATCAAGGTTTAACTTAACATCTGCCAAACTAAAGAAATATATATACATGAT